ATTTTATTAATTTTCATAAACATTTACAGAGATTTTGGGCTTCCACTCATTCATTGTTGCACTATTCTCTCTACCCTCCTCCCAGTTTGTTCTTGTCCAACGGTGCATCTTTTAAAAATATGAAATTGTTTCGTTGTTGTTCGATTTATCAGAGAAAAATCCCAGCCTGGAAGGTGACACCCTTTTTACTGTTCACACAAATGTCATTTGGTTTATAAGGCCTTGTGATATTATTGCCACCAGTTAATTGTCAAGAAGTTATGCTGCATGCCAGCTACTCTGCGGTGGTTCTGGAATCACTCTTAAGAATACGGAGAAATACAGAAGGAATGTCAGAATCCCATGTGAGAGTGCTGATGTTGTTAGGTGCCATCGAGTCAAGTATGACTCATAGCAATCCTATGAACAGCAGATCTGAACCCTGACCTATCCTGTGCAATCCTTAGACTTCCTGACACATTAGAGCCCATTGCAGGTGGTTGAGGGTCTTACTCTCCTTTACTGACCCTTTGCCTTTCTGGTCATCATGTCCCTCTCCAAGGAATAGCATCTCCTAGTAACATGCCTGAAGTATATGAGGCAAAGTTTTATCATCTTTGCCTCCAAAGAGCTCTCAGCTGTACTTTCTCCAGGACAAAGTACCAGTTTGTTGTGTTTGGGGAGAACATTGTTCTGTTTGGTACTGCACTTGTCTGTCAGTTTGCGGTACTGAAATAACTTGTGAGTTCGTGGTATACCGAAAGCTATGCCACTTGGTGTGTCAGATACCACAAGGGTTATTTACCAGTGGTGGACAGATTTTGTAGACCTCCCAAATTACAATAGACTAGGAAACAGGATTGGCTATCCACTTTTTAAATAACAGGCTTCTGAAAACCCTGTGAACAGTAGAGAGTGCTAAATGAGATACTGCTAATTTGGTATAAGTTCACTCAAACAGAAGTATCAGAGTCCATACTGAGAGCATGATTGACGTTTGTATATTTAAGAAAATTATTAACTGGCGAGCTCTGGTGGCCTCGTGGCAAGAACTTGTACTCTAATCCCAGCGGTACGCAGTTTGAATCCACCAGATGCTTTGCTGAAGAAGGAAGAACAATTTCTTCCTGTACCAGTCAGATCTGATGGTACACACACGAAAAGTAATTTTAAAAAAATTTAAAAAATTTTAAAAAGTTATTAACTGGTGCGATTGTGGGTAACATTCCCTTCATTTCAAAGAAAGAGCTACTTTCTTTAATTTCCTGATACTGTCTGGAATGAACTGGTTGTATTCTCTATGTAAATTACCACTTAAATCTTCATTTGTGACCAATGACCAAAACCAAACCCCCTGCCACCAAGTTGATTCTGACTCACCGTGACCTTCACAGAGACAAGAATATGCCCCATAGGGTTTCCAAGACTATCAGGGTTTTTTTTTTGTTTTTTTTTTTTTACTATCAGTTTTTATAAAAGCAGACTACCTCATTTTCCTCCCTTGAAGCAACTGTGGATTTGAACTGCTGATCTTTTGTTTAGCAGCCAGATGCCTTAACCACTACATCACTAGAGCATCTGGCTAATGGTAGTGATATTGGAAGGTAAGCAGTAGTGAGAACTTCACAAAGCTAGACTCATTGCCTCAAGTCACCTCCAGTGCACAGTGAACCTGTAGGACAAGGTGGATCTGCTGTATAGCCTTTCTAATGCCATAAATCTTTTTTTTTTTTTAAATTTAGGTTGTTTATTTTTCATTTCAATGAACATCTACAGAGATTTTGGGATTCCATTCATTCATTGTTGC